TAAGAGAATAAACTCCTGTTTATTAAGGCCATCCCATTTGTAGTATATTCTTATCAGAGTGGCACTAGGTAACCAGAACACAGGTAAAAAACCCATCATTACTGTAAAAACATTTCAAAGATTTTATAAAATGAGAAAACAAACTTAGCTAATTACATAAAATTCCTAACTGTTCTAAGTACATTATTAACTGCCTTAATCTTTTTGTCCTATTAAAAGGATAACATATAGAATCTAACAACAAAAATAAAAAGTTACATACAGAAAGGACCACTTTTTTAATCTGCATTTTTTCAATATTTGGAAAAAAACTAAGTGCTGTCAGTGCCTTCCCAAAACGTGTGTTTCTAATTATAAATGCAGTCTGTATTCACCACAGAAAATGGAGATGCCACAGGAAAACACAATGAAGAGAAGAACAATGGATAAGCCTATTACAATAGAAAATGATGCTTTTTTACTTCAATATGTGTAAAATAAATTGATTTCAAAATTTATCTAAGTTTTGTTTTTTCAATGTAGCATTATTAAACTGTGTGTATTTGCTCATGCAACCAGGTGAGTCTTAAAAGATTATCTTCTTATGATCTATATTTAAAAATTAAATTACTGGATCAAAGAATAGTCACATATTGAAACAGTAGTCAATTACTTTGAGTTGTACCATTAATTTCAACAGAAATACACTTCTTTTTCCAAGCAACACAGAATTTATTAATTACAAAATATCTGATAAGCAAAACATGCTACTTTGGTTATTTTCATTTTTTATTGAAAGTTTAAATATTTTGTATATATTATAGGCCATTTTTCTCTTTTGTGAATTTCCTTTCTACATTTTTCTATAAGCAAGTTTTATCCTCCTTTCATTTTATTCACCCACCTTTATATCTAGTTTTGGTGTTAACTTTTGATGTATAGATATTTTGATTTTTTGTACAGTTATATTTAAAAATCTTTCCCACAAAGTTTTCTATTTTTATATATAGAAAGTTCTTCCCCCCCGATCATATACACCTCAATTATATTTTCCTTTATTATACTTAATGGTCTCACATTTTTTTTTACATTTAATTCTTTAAGTCAAATAAAACATATTTTGAATCACAGGAAGGAATTCAACTATAAACGTCAAATATATCACACAGAAACCTGTATATCCACATATAATTACTACTTATATACATAAACACACAAGACCAGGACTTTATTCTAGCTCCACTAATATGATGTCAATATTTTAATTAAAATTTTATAAAAATCAATACTGCCATTCTTCCACATTATATTTTTAAAACATTTCAGAACTCTTCTTACCAATTAATTATTCAGAATCATTTTGCTCAAGCACTTATTTACAAGAAACTTCATGTAAACTACAGCTTAAGGTAGAAAGAACATATATCCTTTAAAAATTAAGTCTTCTCTCTCAAGAAAAGGCACATTCTTCCATTTAGTAAAGTCATTCATTCATTTATTCATCAAATTTCTAAGTGCCTTTAGGATGTGACAAGCTCCAAATAAGAAAATTAGTTCATATTAGTTTACTTATTCTTGCTGATATGCAATGAGATACACACACACACACATATACCTGTAGAAACCTTCAAATCAACTGAAATGACAGAAATCACAGGAAAGATATAAATCGAGTATTTTAAGGAACAAGAATTCTTGTATACGCCTACAATTATCAGCTAACAATTATAATAAAAAATTTAACTTAACACACATCCTTCAATAGCAACTGAGTTTTTTAAAAACCTTTTTTGAACAATTGAGGTGAATTCCTTAAAATAAGCCTTTATAATACAAAACATTTCTTGTATTGCTTCATTAAATTGTACTTAATATATGACTTCACTACTACTTTAATTTTTACATCTATATTTATCATTAAAATTGATCTGAAACACTCCATGTTAGTTCTGTATGTAGCTACTCTGGTATCAGGGGCATTTTGGATTAAAAAAAAAAGACTAGGGGTGTGTGGGGGGGTGTCAGCTTTTCTGCATTCTAGCCCCACTGGGGCTAGAGACTTGGACATCTGAAAAATACATATTTTTTCCATTTCTTCTTCTTTTTTTTAGTCAAGAAGATATTCAAACTTATCGGAGGATTAAGCATAATGATTTCTATAATAATCTACCATATTCTTTTTTAGTCCTAATTCTGTGAATATTATACTTTTCCTTAAAATCGTTAGCACTTTTATTTCAAAACAAAACAAAATGTAGGCCAAACATTAATTTATTCTCTACTTTCCTTAGTCCTAGGTGAGTCTTTAAAAAACTTGAGTTAATGATTATTTATTTTCACAACTTTCTTGCTCAATAATAAAAGTATGAGACTGTATTAATTTCCTACCAAGTACTACAAAGTTGTAAGTTATGCTTCACTGATCCTTAAAAAAAAAAAAAAAGACAAATAAATGCTTAAGGAAAATCTGTTGTTGTTATGTGCTGTGAAGTCAGACCCGACTTACAGTGACCCCTCCTTGGGTTTCCAAGGTGGTATCACTATGGAAGCAGACTGCCCAACCTTCCTTCTGAGGAGTGGCTAGTGGTTTGAACCGCCAGCCTTCTGGTTAGCAGTCAAATGTGTTAGGCACTATGCTACCAGAGCTCCTAAGGAAAATTTAGGGTGGAAAAAAATAAATGAAAAAGAAAAAAACATTATACCTATAATTCTACCATCTAGATAGAATAACTATAAATATTTTTACGAAATTGTTCTGAGCTTTCTTTCTATACCTTTACATAATATTTTAATGTGATTATCCTTTACTTACTATTTTATATCAGATTTATTCAAGATTATGTCTCCACATGGATACAGTTCTATAATTCCATCCTCATAATGCTTTCTTATACACTGCGTCTATGAACATTCTCTTCCACTAATGTTTGGTTCTGTGCCAGTTCCACACTTCTGACTTTGTATTTTACTAAATGTTATTAGCTAAAAGAATAAGGCTACTCCTTGAACTCTTCTTAAAAGAAAAAAAAAAAAAAAAAGGCAGTTCTCATACACATTATTATTTCAGATGAACTTGAAATGCAATTAACATTATGGGTTCCCATTGAGTAACACTGTATAAGTCTTATTATTGAAGTCTTTATGTACATATCTCAGTTCATACAAGAAACAGGCCTTGGGTTGATTTATCAGAAGTGACTTTTCTATCCATACAGCCAGTTGGCCTATTCCTCATGCCAGAGAAAGTAAGTTATTCCAATTCCCTTTCTCTGACTAGTCCCCCTTCATTACTCCCAGCTTTCCAAAGGAAACATTATTCTAGAAACTTAGCCTTAATCTAAATATTTAAAATCCCAACTTCATCCCTCACCTATCCCAACACCTAAGACTTAAAATATAATACCAAGATTCCTAACACTATCCCTGAGGTATTTAGCCTTGTTTTTGTTGTTGCTATATGCAATTGAGCTGATTCTGATTCACAGCATCTCTCTAAGACAGAGTAGAACTGCCCCAGAGGGTTTCCAAAGCTACAAATCTTTATAGAAGCAGAATGCTACATGTTTCTCCCACAGAGCAGCTATTGGTTCAAACTGCAAATCTTTCAGTTAGTAGCCAAGTTCTTTAACCACTTCACCAACAGGGCTCTTACTTCAGACTAATCAGCCCCAAATTTGAAGTTTTAATCCTACCCGCTCAGGGCACCAGCTGTAGGCTCAGTTCATGACTCCCTTCACTTCTCCTTTGATCCTATAATTTACTGAAACAACTTGCAGATCTCACAGCAAACACCAAACCCACTTTACTAAGATAAAGCATACAAACAAAGAGACACACAAGGTGATAGGTCTGGGAGGGGTCACAGTATGAAACTCCCATGCTCCAAAATGGGACACACTACCTGTCCCTTGCATGGTTACCAACCAAGATGCTTATCTGAGCCTCTGTGTTCAAGGATCTTATCAGTTTCCTCATAAGACCATGATAGATTTCATCATGCTTCCTGAGGCTTAGTCAGCATTGGGTGCCAGGTAGTCCCTCTTGGTCTGGCCAGTCCCATTCATTAGCCTCAGCTGCTGGTATGGCTTGAAGGAACAGAGAACA